CCCCAAAACCCCAAAACCCCAAAACCCCTAAATATTGAAATAATTTATTTTTTTATTATCGATTAAACAAATAAATAAATAATATTATTAAGCTTTTTTAAACACCCTTTTATTTGTCGGAAGTGATATTCATTTGTTTAAAGTATAAGTATTAGAGTTGCCCTCAGGATTGCTCAGTATTCTTAATTCATGAGAAGCATGGCCACATTCTCCCATATATATTTGATTAAATCCAATAAACTAATAGAATGTTTCAGTTCCAGCAATATGTGGAATCTTCAGGAAGATGCTAGACCCTTTATCAAAGATTTGATAGTAGTCTATTTTCTTTTCATTTACCAAGCCATCTAGAATATTTAAATTTGGTTCAAGGCAGGATGGCACTCGTATATTTACAATAATGTTCCCTAGTGGGTAACTCTTTTTATTCTTGACTGTGATATAGTATAGAATGGTACTTCCATCAAAGTAATTTGTACCGATTTTATCCATATTTTCAGTTGTAACTATAAAATCTGAAATCTGGTTTTAAAAGTTATGATTCTGATTAAAGATTTTTGTTTTCAATGTTACTTCATATAGCATGGATATGTTTTCAGAAGTAGTTTGATTCTTTTTATTTATCAAAACTGTCTTGTTATTTTGAACTTTCTGGAGATCAAACTTGATTTCTGATAAAACCGGATTATCGATAGTTAACTCAAATGGGAATAGGCTAGAATTTGAAAACTAATACTTTTGAGACTTGCTTTCAGAGCCGGTTAAACTTATTTATGCTTCCCCTGCTGAATAATTGAATTCATTTATCTAGATAAATTGATTTATTACTGATGAGCACTAAACACTTGTCATTAAATTTTCCATGCTGTGAAATTCTTGTTAACTGAGAATCCATTATATTGCTTTTTATATATTTGTCTGATATCTATAATAGTTATTTAACCAGGCTTTAACACTTAGGCAAGTTGTTTCTAAAGCTTAATTAGTACCTTGGGCTAGATAAAATGTTGTAAGATTAGCGGTGAGACTACCAGTGGTGAGTTATCTTTATTTCAGGATGTCCGCATATTTCAATCCCTAGGCTTGGTTATTAATTGCGTAATAAATATTTGAAATTAGACTTAAAAGATAGCTATCAGAGTAGACCACTTTAGTTGTTGTGATTTAAGAGTCTACAATTTTCTAAAGTAGAGCTATTTCATTAGTAAAGTTATTTTTAAGACCAGAATTCACCAAGGCCAATACTATATAAGCATTGCTTATATTTTGAAAATAAGAACCCACCATTGCTTGTCTCTTGATTAAAAGTTAATTGGAGAACCCAGTATTACTAACTCTTGAACTTAAGATAGCCTTTTATAAAGCTTAGAATTTCTGTGAATTAAATGAGAATGAAAGATTTTAGACTTCACTTAATCCTATCAATAGATTTATTTGCTCCTCGAAATTTGTCGACATATTTTGATTTATTAATGATGCAGATTCAGATAGACTTCTCTAGAACTTGAAAATTAACTATGCCAATTATTGTCTTTAAGTCTCATTTTGAGTGATATTCATTGATTAAGAGTCCTTTAGACTCAATCCAGATAATATCAGACTAGGAGCAACACATTCTTGCAACAGTTGACATCTCGATTCTAGTCTAGCTGTTTATGAAGATAAATAGGCGGAATTCGTTGGAAACAGCTTAATTATAATTTAATCATAAGCCTTAGTTTGATTAACTGCAAGCTTTGCTTAAGATTGTGTTCCAGTAAAATTAATAAATCCAGTTGATGTTTCTTATTACTGAAATTCGTCATCAATAATATCTCTTTCTATTGTTAGGACTTAATTAAACACTTGAGGATTTTTTGTTGATGCTTTACCAGTTACATTAAAAGTAATCAACTTTTTTTGGCAGCCGGATATAGCAGATATGCTTATTTAGCTGTTTACTTTAGTTTAAGAAGTAATTTAGAACTTAAGAACATTCGGAGTGATATTGAAGCAATTTTAATCATATGTTACATTCATGGTAATTTATAGTGTTTAATTGCTTCTATTTATAAGACTAACATATGTCCTTATTTTGTCCCCTTTGATGAAGTAGAATTCAGGCATATCTGTGATAATCTCAAGCACATCTTAGGTATTTATGAAGATTTCTTGATAGCCTATTCTTCCAGTTTGATCAAAAGCATTAATTTTTAGTCTGAATTAAGTCTGTTTATCACTTAAATAGAATGAGCCTTTAAAGATCCCATTTTCTGCTTTCATACTGTTGATGAATTACAAAGTTTCAGTTTAGTCCTCTAATTTACTCTATGAGTAGCCTTTTCTAAGGTAATGAGTATAAATTCTACTATTTTAAGCAAATTGTATCATGTTATCAAGACTCTAAGTTTATTTTGATATGTAAAAGTTTGTTGGCTTATTTCCTGTAGAGGATCTTGCTGAGCTTGATGAAACTCTTCCTGCTAGTGTACTACCAGAAGTATTTCTTGGGATAGGATAAATGTTATAGCTGAATAACTTCTGGATATTTTCTTTTTCAAGTGTAGTGGCATTTTACAGTCTTGAAAGAGCAGTCATATTTTATAGACTGAATATATTATATCTCCAGCCTTAAACAGCCATCAAAGTATCTAGGTTTTCATTATAAGTCTATTCCAAACTTATATCTGAATTCTAGTCGTCTCTAAAATGTAGATCAAGGTAATCTCTGTTTTTAGATAATATGTTGCTCGTAGTTTGAATCTCACTTAAAAGATATTATTGAGAGGCAATTGTTGGATCTCTGCTATCCTTTATAGATTACATATCAGAGACAATAACGGTGACGTAAGAGTCTATATTTCTGATGACTTAACCAGTAAATGTATCAATCACTGTGATATTGTATTAGACTAATTCTCCTATAGTATAAGCTTCTTTGTTAGTATTAACCTAAATTTTAAGTCTTTATGAGGGTAGAATATAAATAAGTGACTCACCCTTTTAAACAGTCCATTATTCTACTGATGGAATTGGAAGAAGTTTCGTTGTAGATCTACTTTTAAAATAATTTTGAAAAGCTGTAGATACTCTCAAAAGGCTTATTGAGAATATTCCTCCATTAGATTATACGAAATGATCAGTAGAAATATTCAGAGTCTTGTTTTGGTTTTTCTAGAAGCTTAAATCTTCATAGTAAACAACTTTCTCCTTTTATTTAATGTATAAAATATAAACATCCGAAGAGTTCATATTGTTATTTGTCTAGAATAAAACTTGAATAGTATCAATATTATTGAAGACTTTGTTTCTATTTTAAATCTTGAAAATTATTTCCCCAGCAGTGTCAAATTTCATTCCATATCTAAATACCAGCTATTTTCTAAGAGGTCCTGAATACCCTCCTAGATCTACTTAAAGGAAATAATCAAAGTTGCTTTAAGGAACGAATCTGAAAGAACCCATCCCGTTAAGAGAAGTTTAAATAGTCTAATCCAATATTGTTGTTTCAACTTTTGTTTTAATGTCTCTAGCTATGAGTGAAGTTTTATCAATATTCGTTTCATTTTGCCTGTTTATATCAAGGAAAGATTGGAAGTAAATTGTGTTCGAAAAGTTTGCCACCATAATTCCATTCTCAGGATAAAAGTCAATAGTAAGTTAGCTTGGCTATGCCATTTGTAAATCGCAAACTGATCCCTAAAATTAGTTTTGGTATCTAACAATGAAGAATATGTAATATATAGTCTAATTTGTAGCGTTTTTAGGAATTTAGAAGGAAAAGTAACCTGTACCATCAAATCCCATCTGTTAATCAATAAATGTAACTTTACTCTGATTAGAGAATTTTATTGAGTAAGAGAATGTTGGGATCGAACTCAGGCTTTTCCCATTGATACGACTCAGGAATAGCTCTCCAGTTATATTATCCCCAGGGTAATATTTATCAGAGCCAAGTTTGCAATTAATGTTGAGTTGCTACTTGCTAAAATCCTCAAGTATAACTGATATTGAGTTATTCTAAATCTTTTGCCCAGTAACAACTAATTTATACTCTCCTCCTAATGAGTTATTAGGGAATTTATAAGTAAAGTGAGAAGTAGAGTTCTAAATAAGATCGGAACTTTAGTATAATAGACTTTCATCAGGGGCATAAAGATAAAACTTCACTGAGTAATTACTAGTGAGAATATTTTTCAACATGATAGGTTATTTGCTGAAGGCATTTGATACATAGACCTGAGCAAACATGATATCCAAAGGTTTATAAACGGTCTTATCTGTGGTAATTGAGGTTTAAAATCTTTCAGTACTAATATTAATCAGAGCAGAAGTAGAGTCATAGATGTATTTATTTATGAAGGAGACCATCTCAGATTCTTGAAGCCTAAATTTTGGTTGCTGATTAGCGCTCTATTCATACAATTAACTCTTAAGTTAATTACTCACTATTGAATCTAAAATAAGTGTTAAGACTTCTAAACCATATTAATTAGCTTGAAATTTAGATGCAAAAGGTTACCTTAATAAGATAAATCTGTGAATTCATCATAATCTTATAGATTTTAGTCTTCGTTATGATGAACAACAAAATAACAGTTTGAGTTAACTAAGAGATGAAGGAGGAAAAGCAAGACTAGCAATAGATTCCCAATAATGTGCTATCTTTACATTTTCAGCCTTTAGCTATAATATTGGTTCATTTATTTTGAATTATTATTTCGATTAATTCTGTTTTTATATAATAGAAGAATTCAGTTGAACGGGGTTTTGGGGTTTTGGGGTTTTGGGG